TTTTTATCGAATGAGTGATTTTGTATACAAACTTAAAAAATGTGCAATGTGCGTCCATATGTACAGCTATGCATTATTTGATAATTTTAATGCTTTTATAGGTCAAACATATCAATTTTGATGATGATTCATTCAGAAAAGAAAGTTGAAACAAAAAAAAACATTTTAAAATGGACAAGGAATTCATTTAAACATTTTATTTTGTTTTGTTTTCAAATACACAAAATACCAAATTTATTTATAAAATTTTGGGCTCATTTTGTAATTACAAATAATAAAACAAATGCATTAATGTATAGATATTGTACAATTCAGTACAATAAATAAGTTTATGTAATAATAAATTTGTTTGTAAAAACAATTTGTTTTGTTTTATAATAAAAATGAAAAATTTTAAATAAAATAAATTCTTTGTTAAAGTTTTTTGTGTATTATAAGCGCAAGAATTGTCCGCTATGAAAAATTCATGGTGTTCATTTGACTATTTAGGTAATATGAAAAGGAGGATAAGCTTCTTTTCATTACTTCTGCGAGTGCCATATCTTAGGTACAGCAAAAATGTTCTTATCAGATGGGTTTCTTACCTATTCTTGTGAACTCGTATCTATGATTCCTGGACATTCCCATAACCTTTCTGTAACGTTTCTGGTTATAGTCCCTCAGAAGTTTCTTGGACTATCACAATTCTCAGCCAGTTCCTCCACAGTTCCGACCTCTTTACTTCAATTTCGTTTCTGAGTCTCTCCCGGGTCTGCTGCGGGCCTATTCCGTAGAAATGTTCCAGCCCTAGAAAGAGTGTTCTGGCCCCCCACGATCATAACTTTATAATGAATTAAACCTGAAAAATTGATAATTAAATCATATTGTTACTCATTATGTTCAACATAAAATATGAGTAACACATTAAATTATAAAAGTATTGGCTTTATACATAGATACATAAAAATACTTTAAAACATGAAATTTGTCATGTCAGGCACATAAAATGTATTTTTTTTTGAAAATTATAAAGCGAACTCCCACTTTTTTATATTTTTATCTAATTTGATATGGATATAGGCATTTAATAGTAGAGAATAAATTTATTAATTAGTATTGCCAGAATCATAAATTATCATAATTAGTTTGCTGAATCATAATGAAGCAGAAGAATCACAATTCAAAATCTGGTTGTACTGTCCTGCGTTATTGCATACACATTTAATATGTTTGAATTTATTTTAAAATTAAATTTCATTTCATATCGTACTTTATATTATTATGTAATAATTTAACTAAACTATAAAAAAAAACATGACTTCATTTACTTAATATATTAATACAAAAATTTTAAATAAATACCTAGATACATATATTATGTACTTATGCGTTGAAAAATCCTTGATCATTGTAAAAAAGAAAATTTTGTCATAGAGCAATTTGTTAAGGTTTTTCAAATTTTTGAAAATTTTTTTTTGGCAGATGCATTTTGAATTTAATAATAACCTTATATACATATACAATATTTATGCAACACGAACATTAATAACGTAATTACAGTAGAATCTTTTTTAAATTTCTGTTTCTAATAATTTAGTTTATAATAGTTTAGTTTAGTTTTATTTTCTACTGATGTGTGACATTGTGTTGTAAATAAAATCTTTAATACTTTGTGTGCACTTGATGTATATCATCCTCCTTTCTCAATTATGTTTATTTATTACATTCCGCAATACAATTGACTATTTAGAATCTTTCCAGACTTTAGTGTTATATGAGTTTAGGATGTGGATTTTGACCTCAATTAGACTTTTATTGATGTTGCTTCTAATATTAATGACTGTGTTGCACCTTTTTATTCTGTATTGTTTGATCATTTCCGAGTTTCGGTATTTCCAAGCCGCCAAGCGCATAATTTTAGAGAATGATGAAAAATTATGGTTTAAATTAAAAATGTTCAACTGTATAAATTTATAAAATTATTTTGTTGTCAAATTTAATAATAGTTTGTATAAGTAACAGCTTTCAAAAATTTAAAAGAAAGAACAATTAAAATTGGATATTAAAAAGCATTTGAATTGACAGTAGCAAAATATTTTTATATAAAAAATCTGGCCTTTAACATATTATTGTATGTATACATAAACGTATATATGTACATATACATATATCCATACATTGCGATGATTAAGATTGAATATAATGTTCGAATAAGGTGAATTTTTCATAAAATTTATTTATAGTACGAATTAAATGTGTTATTTAATTTGTACACCTTTTATATTCTAACAAAAAGAAAAGTGAAGTGATTACTTCTTAATATTGCAAATATCTGACATTTTATCTGTTCATTTCATATTACGTAACATACGCGTAAGTTGCTTAAATTGTTGATTTGAATAAAATTTTTTGAAATTTCAAATATTTTTTCTTTAAATGTTTTCACTTAATAACTTAATTTAATGATTTATGCAAATACATACATAGTTAACCAAAAATTTAAGTGAAAATTTAGCTTTGTGATAAGTTCATATTTACGCGGCTTAGTTACTGAAAATAAGAAAATTAACCTTAAATTTCGAATTTAACTGAATAACTTGAATTTATATTAAGGAAAGAGTAAACTTGTAATTTTATTATGTCAGAAATAATTTTCACTCAAAATTTTGAGTGTTTATAAATTAATATTTAAGTTTGTTCACACACTTTTCCATTTTTCTTTCTCTTTTGTGCTCGTGCTCGTCTTTACTAAGGCGAACTCTGTTAGTAGGTTTCAGTAGCTTTATGTAAACGTAAACTAGCAATTTGTATTTTAGGGTCTCTGATCAACAATTTACCTAAAAAAACTATTGTATATCAACTTTATGAACGTGACCGGTTGTATTGCAACCGCATTATCATGTGTTGACAACATAAAAAGTTATTATGCTTTTTTTGACTAAAATATCAGTTAAAAAATTGACAATTTGATTTTGTTTAGCGCAGATAATTTAATGTTTATTTTGTATTTCAAAATTTATAAAAATATTAAAAATTTCAAAAGAAAAAATGTAATTAAAATTCATTCCATTTCAAAGACATTCAAGAACAAGAAAGAATTGATATTATAAAAATAATTAAAGTGGTAGTAAGAAATTAGGTTTTTCACGATATTAATGTACTTTAAGTATATTCTTTTTAAATTCTTCTTTAAAGAATGCATTTTTAGCAAAAGACTCACAATTTTGAGCCACTGACAATACTTTCAGTACAGACTGATTCAAATTTATGAGTGATTTATTAAGTATTTATGAGTGCTTTATTAAGTATTTATGAGTGATTCAAATTTCTCACATTATTTATATATTAAGATGATAATTAAGCTGTCTAATATACAATATTTATTACAAAAGTTTATTGTTAAAACAAAAATATAGAAAAAAAATTGGCTCATATGTATAAAAGTTGTTCATATATCCATTAATTTTTGGAGAAAAGGTGGATGCGATAATTTTAGATTAAAATATTAAGGAAATTAAAAATTTTTACAGTATTTATACATTATGTATGTATTTACGAACTTTCTTTTTGCTCTCAACATTTTTAAAAGTAGCTTATATATTATGTATGTATGTATATATGAACATATATACAAATATAATCAATATCACACTCACATCACAATTCACAACATATTATGTACGTGTGTATGTAAATAAGCACATTGTTTGCGAATTTAAGTAGAAGGCTCATGTAGTAAAATTTCTTGTCAGAAAACTCGGATGCAAGCAACAAAACGAATACCTATAGTTCAATTTCACCATATACTAATTAGAGAGTGTATTTGTTTTATTAATTAATCTGATTTTTTTCAATTTTTAAATATTAGGTTCTTTTAACAATAATAACTATGATTTGAGTAAAATTTTTACTTCCCAGTTTAAAAAAAATCAATTTTATTAAAAATATGGAAGTTTTTGAGAAAACCAAAGGAAATAGAATAGTCTATAGACTTTTTGTTATTCAAAAATAATTTTTAATATTTAATTTAAATTTATATATGGATATATATGTATGTGTATGTATAAATGTACATACATCCCTATATATGTATATGTATATATATGCTTTGTTTGGTTATATTATTTTAACAAAATATTGTGACGTTTTCTTTATATGTATCGTGCAACATAACCAGGAAGGAGTTTCCCAAAAAAAAAAATTTTAGCATATGTTTTAAAGTAATAGTAGGCGAATATTGAACATCATCAAAGAAATATTTTGATAAATTGCCAACAAAAAATTATTGTTTTTTTTTAAGTTTTTTTTATTCAGTTTTTCATTAAAATTGTCGCCTAATTTATGTTAATCATTTACGTATGTATACTTAAAAATAACTAAATATATTTGTTTTATAATAATATAAACATATTTTTTTCTAAGAAGGCCTATGTCATGATGAATTTTCGAGTATATCTATATGTACACACATACTCATATTTGTTTGGTTTGCGTAAAAAAGACTTTATCGAAGAAAAAACAATTTTCCTCTTCATCATTTATTATTTACACTCGCTCACATAAAATGTACCAAGACATTTTTTTCGAAATCGAATTTAAAATTGTCTGAAAACAAGGGAAACATAAACAAGTGGAGAAAATTAAAATTAATTGAGAGAAATTTAAAAATAAACTTTTTCGAACTTGTGTGAAAGTGAGTTGAAATGAGAGAAAAAACATGTTTACGTTTATTTATTTTCTTTGCCTATAGAGTATAGAGAAAAAAATAAGCTGCAGAAACTATCAAGTAAAAAAAGAAAAACATGAAAATTTTAATAAGAATTTGATAATTTCACTGATCGATTAGCTTAGCATTTTAAATTTCTTCTCTTTGGAAAATAAAGGGAAATTTGAAAATTATGAGAATATTTAACAAATTGATTTGTCGGTCTATTAAAATAATTTTTTTTAATTGTGCATGTACGAGATTATAGAAAATGTTAATTTTGTTTTTTGCATTTTTTTTTCTTTGTAAAATTAAGGAGCCGAGCTGAAACTGCAATCGAAAATTCAGATAAATTTCGAATAACGCAAACAAGTAATGCTGTCCAATTAGCTGTTGAACATGTTCAAAAAGAAGATGCCGGACATTATACTTTATATGCACGAACGAAAAAAGGAAATTTAATTCGAAAAGATGTCGAGCTGGTCGTTGAAGATAGATCAGTTGGTGAAGATCCACCAATATTTTTACGTCGACTTACTGACTTATCTGTTAAAGTTGGTACACGTACAAGGCTTATAGTTGAAATTCGAAGCTCAACAGATGTTAAGGTAATTTTAATAAATGAAATAAATTATGTTATATTAATACATTTTGTTCTTTTGTAATTTTTTTTTTTAATTTTTTAGGTAACTTGGTATCGAAATGATAGAAGAATATGCGAGAATGATCGTATCAAACAGGTGAATGAAGGGAATTTTTTTTGCTTGGAAATAACGCCAGTAACATTAGATGATGGTGGTCAATGGATGTGTATGGCCGAAAATTTAGGTGGACGTAATTCATGTATTGCATTATTAAATATTTTGGTGCCAAAGGCATACAAATCACCAGAATTTATTGAAGAATTACGTGCTGTATTAACAGAACAAGGTACAGTTTCTTTAGAATGTAAAGTAATTGGTGTACCGACACCACTATTAAGATGGTTCAAAGATTCGAAGGAAATAAAAGCTGGGGATGTTTTTGCACTTACTGCAAATGCTGATGATCCGACATCATTAGGTACATATACCTGCGAAGCTGTTAATTGTATGGGAAAAGCTTATTCTAGTTCAAAAGTACATGTAGCTGGTAGAGGAAGTCGTGAAGGTTCCCTAAAACCGGCCGATAGGTATATTGCGAAACGAGTTTTTTGTTATAATTGGATTACTAAGTATACGTTTGTTTTTCATATTTTTATGTTTAGCATGAAAGTAAGTGCACCACCACCAATTTTCACTAATGAATTAAAAAGTATAAAAGTTAAAATAGGAGAAACTGTTATATTAGGTTGTCAAGGTATTGTAGATTATTGAATCGGTAAACACCGTTATTTAATATTATATTTTTGCAGTTGTGGTACCCCCTTGGCCAAAAAGTGTAACTTGGTACAATAAAGAAGGACGAATTGAATCAAATGAAAAATATCGTCTGATTGAGGATGGTTTGGGTGTATATATGGTCGAAGCGAAACCTTCTGAAAGCTGCGATGAGGGAGAATGGAAGTGTGTCGTTACAAGTAGTGAAGGAAGTGTTGGTATTTCTACTTGCACCGTCAACATGGATAGTAAATAAGCAATCATTTATCTCAAAAAATCTCATATATTTAATTTGCTAAAAAATTTTTTTAGTACCTAAAAATTATCGTAAACCAAGATTTATGGAGAGTCTTAAAGCAGTTCTCACAGAAGAGGGGTTAGTTTCCTTCGAATGCAAAGTAGTTGGTTTCCCCACACCAATACTGAAATGGTTCAAAGATGGTCAGGAATTGAAGCCAGGTGATGTTTATCAGCTAACAGGTACCAATTCTTTGGGAACATACTGTTGCGTTGCCAAAAATTGCATGGGTGAAACAAGTAGTGTTGCAGTGTTAACGGTGGAAGATATTCAAAATCAATTGAATGAGGAAGATAGATTGACTTTAATAAAGCAAAACCAACCGCCAAGATTTGTCGTTGGTTTAAAAAGCCAGGAGGCAAAAATCAATGAAGAGTTTGAATTTCTGGTTACAGGTAAGTACTACTCAAAACATTTTATTATGGTTTATGCATAGGAAAATCCACTCATATAATTCAACTTCAGTTAAAGCAACGCCTGAACCTATATTATCATGGTTTCGTGATGAATTACCCGTGGAAACAAACGAGCGATACAATGCATTTAAAGGTCAAAACGAGAATTTTCATCTTACAATAAAATGTGTTGAATTCGTAGATCAAGCTGAATGGAAGTGTATCGCTGCAAATGATTTTGGAACAACAATAACTTCGTGCTTTTTAAAACTTCAAATACCACGCCATTATAAGAAACCTCGCTTTTTAGAATGTCTCAGGGCTGTCTTGACTGAAGAGGGTGCCGTTAACTTAGAATGTAAAGTTATTGGCGTACCTCAACCAGTTTTAAAATGGTACAAGGATGGCGTTGAGTTAAAACCTGGTGATATCCATAGAATTATATCTGGTCAAGATGGTACGTGTTGCCTTGGAACATATACATGCGAAGCCAGAAACTGTATGGGTGTTGTTGCCAGCTCAGCTTCTCTTTTAGGTTTTGAAGACGCTTATAAAAATCAGCAACAACAGCAACAACAGCAAAAAGAACGTGAAGCTGTTCAGTTACAACGCAATTTCTCACTTTCGACCATACAAGAGGAACGTACATCTCAGTTATATGAAACTCCGGTTGGTTCAGTAGCAGTTGATGATAAGGGTGATGTGTCATTTTCATTTGACGGGAAAGAGGTTTCAGTTTCTCTATATGAAACGCCAGATTTAACAGAAGAAGAAGCTTTACAAATTGTCGAAATGTATGCAGAGCAAATATCTGAGCATGTAACAGATGGCAATGTAGTTGAATTACCACCTCTACGATTCGTGAAGGAGACATCTCAATCGGGGAATCTTCTTATGGAGGCAGTTGTAGTAGATATTTCACCAGAATATTTCAGCCCGGACGACGACCAAAGAACCGAAGCTGGTGTAGACGATATTTCTATTCATGAAGCAAGTGTTCATTCAAGCAAAGGAGGTCACGCAAGTTTCGATAGAGATATGGAAGATTTCGCAAATCAATCAATAGTAAAAATGGAGGAGGAGCTTAGCATGCAAGCTCCAATCCCAAGAAAAAGAAAGAAGTCAAAACCAGGTGCAGAAAGTGATGAATTCCAAAGTTTGTCCCAATCTAAAAAATCAAGCAGTCATAAAGGAGACGACGATAGTGAATCAGATTTACAAACCTTTGCTAGTGCCCAAGGCTCTGCTCCAATTTCTTCTTTAGAAAAAGAACCTTCATCAGTAAGTTCTGGAGCTGTACCAAAAGAACCAATTCCTCCTAAAAGGAAGAAGGCTGAAAAAGTGGAATTAGAATCAGATTCGTCGATGAGAACAAGTGAGCAAGAAGTACATTTGCAAGATATATCTGGAGCTGCAGGTGATGGACTAAAAGTGTTGTCGAAAACGTCTAAACAAATTACTGACGAAAAATTAATTAGAACGAATTTGGAAGCATTGGTGCCTTTAGCTAAAAGCCTGAAACAGGTTGAAAAACATTTGGTTGTTGTGCAGGACGAAGTTATTTCTCAATCCGCTATGATGATGTCTCCTGCATCAGCTGAACAAAGTATTGGAATAATACAAAAAATTTTGGAGCCTTTAAGACAAATTCAAAGCAAGATGAAAGTTTATTCAGGAGAAATTCCTTTGGAAACATTATTTGAATCTCTTGAAGAAGATGTTCATGAGCTTCATAGAAGTTTGCAAGTTATTGAAAGTTGTGTTGAAATGGATGAACATGGTGTTACCTTAATTCAAAAAACTAGTGTTTGTGTAATCGATAGTTCAGGAGATTTAATAATAAAAGCTTTAGATAATGTTAAACAAATAGCTCAATATTTTGAAACCGATAAGCTTAAAAATGAAATTAGATTAGTCGTTCAAGATATGCAGCAAGGAATTCAAATTACTCAAGATACAATAAAATCACAGGCACTTATACAGGAAGCATCTGCATTTGAAACAGCGCAGCACATATCTGAACAAGTGGCTAAAATGCAAACATTAGCACCATCAGCAACACCGTTTGATAAACAAACAATATTACAATTGCCTTCTGAAGCAGAATCATTAAAAATGATATGCGAACCAGTCATGAAAATACAACGCTCCTTAGAAAGCATAGAAAATGAATTATCCTTGGAAGAAAATGAGGAACAGTTGTTTTCAAAAGTCCATGAAGTAGTTTTAGATAAATTAACTGAACCAATAGATGAGTTAACTTCAGTGTTGCAGAAAATAGAACAAAATACCGTCAGCGCTTCTTCGGGGAAAGAAAATTTAGAACAAAAAATTAATATAACGGTTTTAGATATTGTCACTCCACCTTTATTTGAACTTAAAAAAGGATTGGAAATTTTAGCTAAGCAATCTTCCACAAATATTCATGCAGGTATGGTCAGCGTAAGCATCGTAGAACAAATGGTACCCCCACTTCAAGAAATACAAAATGGATTAGCCCAACTCGCTCAAGATATTGAAAGTGGACAAGTTGGTGAAGAGGTTGCTAATGAGTCAGCTGATGCACAAAAATTGTGCCAGTCTATAGCTCAAGCAGTACTATATTTAGAAACTAATATGGAACTTTTAGCACCAAAAATGCCAGAAGCAATTCATATTCAGATGATTAATTTAAAAAATGATGTTTCCCGTTTGGTTGGAAATATTTTAGATTCGTCATTTAACAAATACCACTTGACTCTTTTGGAAAATTTAAAAAGGCCAATAGATGAATTAAACTATTGCTTACGGCAAACAGAAGCTAAATCTATTTCAGGATCCTTAAGCGACTTATTAGAGCCTCTTGATCATTTAAATGATAAAGCAGTGCTTTGTGAAGATATTTTACTTCTCACTGGGCAGTCACCAAGCGACTTCAATTTAAAAACATTAAAGCAAATAAAACTTTTGATTAAATCTATTATAAGTGATATCGATAGTCATGATATGAAAATTTTGCAAGATGAATTGGAAACACAGCAAAGATTAGGAGATGAAATAGAAAAAACAATTTTGTCTATTCACGAAGCAAAGTCTTTACATAATTCTGAAAAACTAATTGCGAAGTCTAAACAAATATTTGAGGAATTTCATGCTTGTATAGCAGCTGTTCAACAGCAAACTGTATTTCCTGAATCTGAAGAAGCTGCTGTGCCAAAAGAACATATTACTCTTTTGAAAAATATTAAAGCTCCTTTGCAAGATATTATGCAAAGTATAAGTAAGGTTAAAGAGATTTTTGCATTCGAAACCATTGAAATGTTATCAGATACCGGAGATGTTTCAATTTTGCAAGAATTTTTAAGACCTTTAGAAACTATTATGGAAAATATTCAAGTAATAACACAGCATAATATTGTGGAACCACTATACACTTCTTCTGCAAAAGATGCACCAGAAGCTCTAAAAACATTGGTTGAACCTTTGCAACAACTTCAAACCTGTATAAATTCAATTAATGAAATAGGAAAAACTGCAAAAGTCCAAGGCTTAAATCCAAAAATTGTTCTACCTCTTGAAGAAATCAACAATTCAATTGAGAAATTAGTTAGCTGTATAAGCCCTCCCAATAAAGCAACCGAAGTTACAAAAGCTGCTATTCAAACTGCCACACCAATGGAGGTAGATGTCGATATAATTGATAAAAAAATAAATTCCTATAATTTACTTGTGCAGGAATTCAAATCTTCGATTTTAAATGTTTTTAATAAGTGCGCTGAGTTAGATGTAACTATGCTTGGGTTAGATCAAGTAGCTGCTATTAAAACAATTGTGACAAAACTAAAGTATATTGAGAATTTGATGGAGCAAGCTGGCCTTGTAACTGATGTAGATAAAAATTTTTTAGAAAGATCAAAAGAAAAAAATTTGGAAGATTCTACATTAGATTTGTTAAATTACATAGAAATTATAGAACGAGAAATAAATCAAGAAAAGTCAGATCTGGGTTTAGACAATATCTCGAAATTAAAATCAATCATTACACCTTTACAAGATCTGGCAAAATCATTGACGGTGTTTGATGAACAAATTCTCAAAGGTATCCAAAAAACCGTTTCCGTTAGTGAAACGAAAATTGAAGCTATTAAACTTCCTGATGTGAAAGTTAAAGTTGAGGAACCCAGTTTAAAGAATAGTTTAAAAGAAGGAATTAAGCAAATTCAAATTTGCCTAAATATTGTTGGTAATGAAAAACAGCTCTTGAATTCGAAAGAGTCCAATGTTGCTTCGGACATTCTTTTAAATATTAAAACATCTTTGAATGATCTAAAATCATCTTTTGAAATTATTCAAAGTGAATTTGCTGAATCACAAAGAGTAGATGAAGAAATTTTAAACAAATCAGATGTCTCAAATTCATTATTTAAACTCAAAGAATGTTTGGTGAAGACATACGAAGTAGCTCTAGAAAATTCTGAACTTGAAAAAATGTTAGAAGGACCATTGTCTGAAACTGAAAAAGCTTTCAATGATATTATTGATAATGTTCCTCTTTTGGAGTTTCTCCTAGCTGAAAAAATGGCTAACAAATCTCAAACTGAACTTAACGAATTGTTAAATGCCACTCGAAATGCTGTTGCTACTAATCCTAATTTAGCTTATATTAAAACAATAGAAAAGCCAATAATCAATTTACAACAGCTATTGATCAATATTAACAAGTCGCAGAACTTGCTGATGTCGAAATCTTCATCGATAATGATAACACTTCAAACATATTTGATGGATTTATACAGATCATTAAGTGATATAAGCGAACTAATTCCATCAAAAGGATTAAAACCAATTGCAGAATGTCAACAGAATTTAACATCTATTTACAATTTCATAGAAACTTCAGAAGATAAAATCAAGCTTACTGAATTTTTACAAGAAATTGATGCAATATCACCTAATTTACAAGATTTTAGTCGTGTATTAACTGAAATAACAAGAGACAGTGTTTTAGTTCCAATTAAACTTGATGAGATTCAGGAAGAAAAGGAAGAAGATTTGAAAAAGATACTTCCAAATATTGAAACCATGAAAGATGAAGCACTAAAGAAAGAGGAGATTATAGAAATTTTGGAGCCTGTTAAGGATGCTAAAAATTTCTTAATCATTTTACAACAGATCCTTTCTGAGCAAACGGAAGAAAACGCGAAATTATTTCTACAAAATTATTCTGGAGTTATCAATGATTTAAGAGAAAAATTGGATTATATTGAAAATAGGGTTAATAGTCAAAAAGATGTGAACATTTTATCAGAGCAAGAAAGAGAATCAATTGATGAGATTATCAAACCGTTACAAAAATTAAAAAAAGCTATTAGAAATGTGGGTCAATTAATTCAAGATGAAGACATATCTGTTACTGATTTGTCTACTATAGTTCGAACTGAAACTGTAGAGGATTTAACAAGTCAAGCTCTCGAATTACAAAAACATTCAGAAGAGCGTGAACTTACACCAGAAGAGCAAACAAAATTGCAAAAAATTTTAGAGAAAATTGATAGTATGGATTCTGAGGTTTACAAAGCTTTAACCGAACCAAAAATAATAAACAAAAACCAGGCTGAACTTTTTGAAGCTATACGCGAAGAAGCTGAAATGCTTGAGGAACTAAAAAAAAACGACGACAAAGACGGTTTTTCCAAAGAGTCCGCCAAAAGTACGGAACCGAATATTCTCGCTGAACAGCAATCACTTCAAATGGATATCGATAAAAATAATTTAAAACGTAAGGTAAGCGAAGAAACTCCCATTACTAGTGAAGAAGATGAAAAACGCCAAAAAATTGATAGCAGATCCCAATTTATAACGGAGAATTTAAACAATTTAAAAATTATAAATAGCAATATCCTTCAAATGATTCAAAATGAACTACCAAAAAAAATATTTGAACCATTAAATGCTCTTAAATCCACAATAGTTGAAATCGAAAACATATTGAGAGAAAAACCTGCAAAAGTAATTGAAGATGATCTTTTTCTTCCATTATTTAAATTAAGGGACCTTTTAAACCATATCGATAATGAGAAAAACTCAATTAGCGATCAAGAAATGAAACTAAAATTAGATCAAATAGTCAAACTAAATGAGCTGCTTTTCTCGAACATAATTAATAATCATAAAAATTTAAGACAAACTTTTATTCAGGACCTCATTACTAGTCCAAAAGACGAAATTAAGAAACTTTGCCGGATTGATAAAAAAATAATTGAAAGCTTTAAGCTTGAAAATCTTATTACCGGTTTAAACAATTTTGATGTGGCTCTTAATGAACTTGCAAAAATCAATGAAACAAGCATTAATAAGAACTTAGCACAATATGCTAATTTAAAGGAAAGTGCAGAGATTGTATTAGGTACTTTAAAAGAAGCATCTGCCGGATGTCCAAAAGAATTAGAAAAAGTCATTGGCGAACTTCAAAATAAAATTGAGGAATTATTTAATTTAATTACCGTTAAAGATAAACTTGGTATAACCGAAATTTGTTTAAAAATGGAATCATTATCTAATCCAATAAGAAATTTGGCAAATAAAGTAAGAGATGCAACAGTTGAAAAACAAGAATTAATTAAAATTGAGAATACTCACTTTAAGCAGCAATTGATCGAACTTCAAGAACATTTTAAGAAAGAAAAACATAACGATAATATCAACAGATCATTAGAAGAATTACAACAAATCCATGATGAATTATCTAAAACTAAAAATCCAAGCGAAGATATGAATAAGAGAGCTGCAAAAACTTTACTTAAGTTGAGAGAGCACCTAGTGCATACATATGATTCTTCAGAATTCACAGAAGGTGAAAACCAAAACATAGATATTATAGATAAGATTTTGAAAGATCATTTAGTTGATAACCCAGCTTTAGAGAAAGATTTTTCAAACCTAATAGTGAAACACACATTTACGCAAATCAAACAACTTATAGAAATTTTATCCAAAAATAGAGAAAAGCCTGAATTTAAAAATTTGTCTCATCTTGTTAATTCGATGACGGATCTCGAAGTTAATATGCAACAAATATTTAACCAACAAAATTCGCAATTTGCTAAAACTTCTGCTAAAATTATAAATTTACAAAAAGTTTTAATGAATGCTTTTATTAATTTTAATGAGGTTAGTGACAAAAGTGAAAGACATTTAAAAGATCATTTAGCTGAAATTGAAAAAGTTTTCCTTACTATTAACAATGTAATTGAAGAATCTGCACCTGTTCTTAAAATGATAGAAATTGCCAGTAAGGTTGAAAGTTTAGAAAAGCCAGTTAAAGTGTTAAATGACTACTTGACTCATACTTTAGTACAGTCTGCAAAAGATAAAGAAATTAAAGAAGACCAAAGGGAGATATCTCCAGAAATGGTTCAACACATTGAAAAAATTGTAACACAAAAATATATTGAAATAAAAGCACTTGAAAAACAGAACGAACAACAAGCAATTCTTGCTAAGACTGACGAGAAAATCTTATTAGAAATACAGAAAGTACAGCAACAAATTGATAAAAAAAAACTGGAAGTTGTTGCTTTGGAATCACAAATTCCTCAACAAGGTCAGTTTTCTACAGACCAATTAAAACCTGAAGAGATTCAACAGATGAGTCAAATAGTAAATCAAAAGAAAACAGAAATTCGAGCATTGGAAAATAAAGAAGCTGAGAGGGCTGAAATATCGATGGCCGATCCCAAAGCAAAAGAAGATATCAAGCAAATGCAACAAATAATTGAACAAAAGAAAATTGAAATACAAGCTTTGGAAAAGAAAGTAGCAGAACAAGGGGAAATAATTGTTCCAGAGGAAAGGAAACTTAATGAAATTGAACAAGTACAGCAAATTGTGGAACAAAAGAAAGCAGAAGTAAAAGCTCTAGAAACTCAAAAAGCACAACAAGCGCAAATTGCTAAAACAGATTCTCCTGCTGTTGAAGAAGTTAAGCACTTGAAATTGGTTATTGAACAAAACAAACTAGAAATAAAAGCTTTAGAATCAAAACTGCCACAAATAGGAGAAGTGGCTGAAGTTGAAATGAAATCTATTGAAGAAATTTATCAAATAGAGCAGATAGTTTCTCAAAAGAAAGCTGAAATAAAAGCTCTTGAAACGCAAAACGCACAACAAGCAACTCTGGCAAAATCTGATGCAAAATCTGCATCTGAAATAGACAATGTGCAATTGACAATTGATCAAAAGAAATTAGAGGTTGTTGCACTCGAGTCTCAAGTTTCTAAACAAGGCGAAATTTCTACCATTCAACTAAAACCTGAAGAAATCCAACAGATGAATCAAATGGTAGATCAAAAGAAAGCGGAAATTCGAGCATTGGAAAATAAGCAAGCTGAAAGGGCAGAAATGTTGATGGTCGATTCGACAGTAAAAGCAGAAATTCAACAAATGCAACAAATAGTTGAACAAAAGAAAATTGAAATACAAGCTTTGGAAAAGAAAGTAGCAGAACAAGGGGAAATAATTGTTCCAGAGGAAAGGAAACTTAATGAAATTGAACAAGTACAGCAGATTATGGAACAAAAGAAAGTAGAAGTAAAAGCTCTAGAAACTCAAAAAGCACAACAAGCGCAAATTGCTAAAGCAAATTCTCCTGCTGCTGAAGAAGTTAAGCACTTACAATTGGTTATTGAACAAAACAAACTAGAAATAAAAGCTTTAGAATCAAAACTGCCACAAATAGGAGAAGTGGCTGAGGCCGAAGTTGAAATGAAATCGGCTGAAGAAATTCAGCAAATAGAACTGATAGTTTCCCAAAAGAAAGCTGAAATAAAAGCTCTTGAAACGCAAAACGCACAACAAGCAACTCTGGCAAAATCTGATGCAAAATCTGCATCTGAAATAGACAATGTGCAATTGACAATTGATCAAAAGAAATTAGAGGTTGTTGCACTCGAGTCTCAAGTTTCTAAACAAGGCGAAATTTCCACCATTCAACTAAAACCTGAAGAAATCCAACAAATGAATCAAATGGTACATCAAAAGAAAGCAGAAATTCGAGCATTGGAAAATAAGCAAGCTGAGAGCGCAGAAGTGTCGACGGCTGATCCGAAAGTAAAAGAAGAAATTCAACAAATGCAACAAATAGTTGAACAAAAGAAAATTGAAATACAAGCTTTGGAAAAGAAAGTAGCAGAACAAGGGGAAATAACTGTTGTGCAGGAAAGGAAACTTGATGAAATTCAACAAGTACAGCAAATCGTGGAACAAAAGAAAGCAGAAGTAAAAGCCCTAGAAACTCAAAAAGCAAAACAAGCGCAAATTGCTAAAGCAGATTCTCCAGCTGCTGAAGAAGTTAAGCACTTGCAATTGGTTATTGAACAAAACAAACTAGAAATAAAAGCTTTAGAATCAAAACTGCCACAAAAAGGAGAAGTGGCTGAAGTTGAAATGAAATCTATTGAAGAAATTCAACAAATAGAGCAGATAGTTTCTCAAAAGAAAGCTGAAATAAAAGCTCTTGAAACGCAAAACGCACAACAAGCAACTCTGGCAAAATCTGATGCAAAATCTGCATCTGAAATAGACAATGTGCAATTGACAATTGATCAAAAGAAATTAGAGGTTGTTGCACTCGAGTCTCAAGTTTCTAAACAAGGCGAAATTTCCACCATTCAACTAAAACCTGAAGAAATCCAACAAATGAATCAAATGGTAGATCAAAAGAAAGCGGAAATTCGAGCATTGGAAAATAAGTGTGCTGAGAGGGCAGAAGTGTCGGCGGCCGATCCGAAAGTAAAAGAAGAAATTCAACAAATGCAACAAATAGTTGAACAAAAGAAAATTGAAATACAAGCTTTGGAAAAGAAAGTAGCAGAACAAGGGGAAATAACTGTTGTGCAGGAAAGGAAACTTGATGAAATTCAACAAGTACAGCAGATTATGGAACAAAAGAAAGCAGAAGTAAAAGCCCTAGAAACTCAAAAAGCGCAACAAGCACAAATTGCTAAAGCAGATTCTCCTGCTGCTGAAGAAGTTAAGCACTTACAATTTGTTATTGAACAAAACAAACTAGAAATAAAAGCTTTAGAATCAAAACTGCCACAAATAGGAGAAGTAGCTGAAGTTGAAATGAAATCTATTGAAGAAATTCAACAAATAGAGCAGATAGTTTCTCAAAAGAAAGCTGAAATAAAAGCTCTTGAAACTCAAAACGCACAACAAGCAACTCTGGCAAAATCTGATGCAAAATCGGCATCTGAAATAGAAAATATGCAACTGACAATTAATCAAAAGAAATTAGAGGTTGTTGCACTCGAGTCTCAAATTTCTAAACAAGGCGAAATTTCTATCATTCAACTAAAACCTGAAGAAATCCAACAGATGAATCAAATGGTAGATCAAAAGAAAGCGGAAATTCGAGCATTGGAAAATAAGCGAGCTGAGAGGGCAGAAGTGTCGGCGGCCGATCCGAAAGTAAAAGAAGAAATTCAACAAATGCAACAAATAGTTGAACAAAAGAAAATTGAAATACAAGCTTTGGAAAAGAAAGTAGCAGAACAAGGGGAAATAACTGTTGTGGAGGAAAGAAAACTTGATGAAATTCAACAAGTACAGCAGATTATGGAACAAAAGAAAGCAGAAGTAAAAGCCCTAGAAACTCAAAAAGCACAACAAGCACAAATTGCTAAAGCAGATTCTCCTGCTGCTGAAGAAGTTAAGCACTTGCAATTGGTTATTGAACAAAACAAACTAGAAATAAAAGCTTTAGAATCAAAACTGCCACAAAAAGGAGAAGTGGCTGAAGTTGAAATGAAATCTATTGAAGAAATTCAAAAAATAGAGCAAATAGTTTCTCAAAAGAAAGCTGAAATAAAAGCTCTTGAAACTCAAAACGCACAACAAGCAACTCTGGAAAAATCTGATGCAAAATCGGCATCTGAAATAGAAAATATGCAACTGACAATTAATCAAAAGAAATTAGAGGTTGTTGCACTCGAGTCTCAAGTTTCTAAACAAGGTGAAATTTCTATCATTCAACTAAAACCTGAAGAAATCCAACAGATGAATCAAATGGTAGATCAAAAGAAAGCGGAAATTCGAGCATTGGAAAATAAGCGTGCTGAGAGGGCAGAAGTTTCGGCGGCCGATCCGAAAGTAAAAGAAGAAATTCAACAAATGCAACAAATAGTTGAACAAAAGAAAATTGAAATACAAGCTTTGGAAAAGAAAGTAGCAGAACAAGGGGAAATAACTGTTGTGCAGGAAAGGAAACTTGATGAAATTCAACAAGTACAGCAGATTATGGAACAAAAGAAAGCAGAAGTAAAAGCCCTAGAAACTCAAAAAGCGCAACAAGCACAAATTGCTAAAACAGATTCTCCTGCTGCTGAAGAAGTTAAGCACTTACAATTGGTTATTGAACAAAACAAACTAGAAATAAAAGCTTTAGAATCAAAACTGCCACAAATAGGAGAAGTAGCTGAAGTTGAAATGAAATCTATTGAAGAAATTCAACAAATAGAGCAGATAGTTTCTCAAAAGAAAGCTGAAATAAAAGCTCTTGAAACTCAAAACGCACAACAAGCAACTCTGGAAAAATCTGATGCAAAATCGGCATCTGAAATAGAAAATATGCAACTGACAATTAATCAAAAGAAATTAGAGGTTGTTGCACTCGAGTCTCAAGTTTCTAAACAAGGCGAAATTTCTATCATTCAACTAAAACCTGAAGAAATCCAGCAGATGAATCAAATGGTAGATCAAAAGAAAGCGGAAATTCGAGCATTGGAAAATAAGCGTGCTGAGAGGGCAGAAGTGTCGGCGGCCGATCCGAAAGTAAAAGAAGAAATTCAACAAATGCAACAAATAGTTGAACAAAAGAAAATTGAAATACAAGCTTTGGAAAAGAAAGTAGCAGAACAAGGGGAAATAACTGTTGCGGAGGAAAGAAAACTTGATGAAATTCAACAAGTACAGCAGATTATGGAACAAAAGAAAGTAGAAGTAAAAGCCCTAGAAACTCAAAAAGCACAACAAGCACAAATTGCTAAAGCAGATTCTCCTGCTGCTGAAGAAGTTAAGCACTTGCAATTGGTTATTGAACAAAACAAACTAGAAATAAAAGCTTTAGAATCAAAACTGCCACAAATAGGAGAAGTAGCTGAAGTTGAAATGAAATCTATTGAAGAAATTCAACAAATAGAGCAGATAGTTTCTCAAAAGAAAGCTGAAATAAAAGCTCTTGAAACTCAAAACGCACAACAAGCAACTCTGGCAAAATCTGATGCAAAATCTGCATCTGAAATAGAAAATATGCAACTGACAATTAATCAAAAGAAATTAGAGGTTGTTGCACTCGAGTCTCAAGTTTCTAAACAAGGCGAAATTTCTATCATTCAACTAAAACCTGAAGAAATCCAACAGATGAATCAAATGGTAGATCAAAAGAAAGCGGAAATTCGAGCATTGGAAAGTAAGCGTGCTGAGAGGGCAGAAATGTTGGCGGCCGATCCGAAAGTAAAAGAAGAAATTCAACAAATGCAACAAATAGTTGAACAAAAGAAAATTGAAATACAAGCTTTGGGAAAGAGAGTAGCAGAACAAGGGGAAATAACTGTTGCGGAGGAAAGAAAACTTGATGAAATTCAACAAGTACAGCAGATTATGGAACAAAAGAAAGCAGAAGTAAAAGCCCTAGAAACTCAAAAAGCGCAACAAGCACAAGTTGCTAAAACAGATTCTCCAGCTGCTGAAGAAGTTAAGCATTTGCAATTGATTATTGAACAAAATAAATTAGAAATAAAAGCTTTAGAATCAAAACTGCCACAAAAAGGAGAAGTGGCTGAAGTTGAAATGAAATCTATTGAAGAAATTCAACATATAGAGCAAATAGTTTTGCAAAAGAAAGCTGAAATAAAAGCTCTTGAAACGCAAAATGCACAACAAGCAGCTATTGCAAGAACGAATGAAAAAGTTGCCTCAGACATTCAAAAAGTGCAACAGACAATTGATCAAAAGAAATTAGAGGTCGTAGCCCTCGAATCTGTAGTCTCTAGCCAAGGCCAAATATCAACAACTCAATTAAAACCGGAAGAGATTCAACAAATGCAGCAAATCGCAAATCAGAAAAGAATTGAAATTTTAGCATTGGAAACTAAACGAGCTGAGAGAGCAGAAATATCGGTGCTCGATCAAAAGAATAAAGTGGAATTGAATGAAATGGAAGAAATAGTTGAACAAAAGAAAATTGAAATTGAAGCTTTAGAGAAGAAAGTGGCAAGTCAGGGAGATATAGCTTTGACTGAAAAAAATATTTTGTCTGATATTGATGTAATAGAACAAATTGTAGAGCAGAAGAAGGCTGAGGTTAGCGCTTTAGAAACTCAGAAAATTGACATTAGCAACGCCGATTTAGCAAAGGGAATGGATAAAAATATTATGCAGAAACAAATGGAAATTAAAGCTTTGGAAGGTTCAAAAGTTTTGGAAGTTATTTTGGATGACGAAAAGCTTAAGAAAATCAATTGTATGTATGCTGGTTCTATTAATGAATTAGGAAACTTTGTAGAATTAATAACGTTAATAGCTCCAGAACAAAGTTCTATTTTATCAATTAAAAAAGCAGCAGATCCTGTTATTTCTCTTCAAAAGTGTTTGTTAGAATTAACGGATGATAAAAATGCATTTCTCAGCAAAAATGCTAATAAAATTATCAAACTTCAAAGTCAGTTAATGTCCGTTTTTCTCTGCTTGAACGACTTAGGAAATGAATGTGAAAACCCGTTAAAAGAACAGGTTATAAACGCTCAAAATAAAATTTTAGCCTTAAATGATTCAATAGATGGCTCTCAAAATGATATTGCAACATTAGCACTAGCTGGCGATGTTGGGATATTGCACGAAACATTTGGTAACTTAAATAAAATTCTCAAGGATTTTTCGACAGCAGAAAATCAGCCTTTGGAGTCCAAAGACAAAAGAAGCATAGTTGATCCTGAAGTAATATTGGAAGATAAAAATCAAGAAGTGGAAAGAAAAATACAATCTGAAAAAAAAATCATTGACAAAAATCTTAAAGAGACCAATGAAAAATATAGTTTTATGATTTTAGATGATTTAAAAAGAAAACTTAAAGATTTTCAAAAATCGTGTGACGATGAAATTGCCAACGCAAACGTTAGGAAAAATATAAAAAATTTGAATGATATCGAAAAAACTATTATTGATTCCCATCAAGACACGGAAAACTTGAGCAAAGCGGTGGAAGTTCTTTTTGAAATTCGAACTGATATGTTAGCTAAATGTGACGATAAAGAAAAATCAGTGACATCGGCAGCTGAGCAAATCGTGGAAGAAGCATTTACGATATTCAACAAAGTGACCGAATTTTTGCCAGATCTTCGCCTTCAATATTCGCGAAAAATGTTAATTGCTACAGAGAAAGGAATTGATACTCTTTTACAAGAGCTTTTGACAATACCGGGAGAAATAAAGCATCTACATGCATTTAAACAAGTTGTTCAACCACTTCAAAATTGTAGAAATATATTCGCCGAATATCAAACAAATGAATTTGAGAATCTTGAAAAGTCGTCAAGTAAAATTGTAAAATTACAAACCAATTTGATGAATGCATTTATGGCATTCAATGAACTTGGTGCAAGTTCACAGCTTGCAAAGGAATTAAGTGTTGTTCAAAATAAAATATTGTTTCTTAATGACTGTGTTGACAGTGAAATAACGAATGTTAATGTTGTTAGTTTGGCAGCAAAAGCAGAGCGTCTTTCACAGCCTTTAATGATGTTAAGTAAAAAAATTGCTGAGCTTAAAAAAGATTTATCGATAGAAGAAGAGAACAAGGGCGCTACAAAGCAAGACATATATGATACAAAAAGAAAAGATTCAGTAATAACAGATGTTGCAGAAGCACATGCACAAACGGGACAAATGTTGAATAAGGAATCCGCAGACATTAAACAGGAAGTTTTTGACGCTAAAAGAAAAAGTTCTGTTGTACAAGATATTGAAAAGGATCAGCCACAAGTAGCACAAATAACTCTTAAAAAGCCGGAAGAACTTACGGAAGAAAAGCTAGATTCAAAGAGAAGAAGCTCGATAGTGAAAGATATTCCAGAACCACAGGCACAAAAGGCCGAAATTTCAGTAACAAAACCAGAAAGAATTACACAAGAGACTGTCGATGCAAAAAGAAGAAGTTCTGTCGTACAAGACATAGAGGAGCCAAAGGTGCAAACTGCGAAAGTAGTAGCACCTGAAGCGATTCAGCAGGAAGATGTTGATTCAAAGAGAAGGAGCTCTATTATACAAGATATTGAAGCACCACAACCACTGGTAGCTCAAATAACGGTTAAACAGCCGGAAGAAATCAAGCAAGAAAAACTTGATTCACAGAGAAGAAGCTCTGTCGTAAAAGATATTGAAGAACCTCAAGCCCAAGTAGCACAAGTAACAGTGAAAAAGCCGGAAGAAATCAAACAAGAAACTATTGACGCAAAACGAAAGGACTCAGTTGTTCAAGAATTGGAAACACCCCAATTACAAGTAGCAGAAGTTACAGTAAAGAAGCCTGAAGAAATTAAGACGGAGAAACTCGATTCAAAAAGAAAAGATTCTATTGTTGAAAACATTGAGATTCCAAAGCCACAGGCTGCACAAATAACAATAAAGCAAGCAGAGGAAATCACACAAGAAAGTGTAGACGCAAAGAGAAGAAGCTCTGTAATACGAGATGTTGATGAACCAGAGGTGCAAGTTGCTAAAATTACGGTGAAGAAACCAGAAGAAATTAAACAGGAAACTATCGACACTAGGAGAAGAAGTTCTTTGGTTCAAGAGATTGAGGAGCCGCAATCACAAAAAGCAAAAATATTTGTTAAAGAGCCGGAAGAGATTAAAATGGAAAAGTTCGATGAAAAGAGAAAAAAATCAGATCTGAAAGATATAGAAAAAATGGAACCTCATGTTGCTAAATCATTGGAAAAAGCTGATGATTCAATTAAAGAGAAAAAGCTTGATACAACACGCCGGGAATCTATTTTGGAAGTAATAGAAAAACCCGAAGCTCAAAAGGCAGATATATCAGAAATATCTAAAAAAGAATCTTTGCCTGAAGGTTCTACAGAAGATAAAATTGAAAAGATACTTGACAAGAAACATGAAGAAACTAAGGAAACTAAAAGAAAATCCATTAAGGAAGATAAACGAAAAAAGAGTTCTGAAGCAACAGTTGAAGATTCTACGGAAGAAATATCCAAGAAGAAAGAGGAAGTAGAAGCAGCAACAGATTATAAAAAAGAAGAACTTAAACAAGCCGATGATTCAAAGGTGGACTCAGAAAAGTCAAGAGAAAGAGAAACTAAGACTGAGAGCTTAGAAGATGCGAAAATGCAAAGAAAAGAAAGCGATAAAGAATCTAAAAACTCAGTAGAAAAAGCAGATAAAGAAATATCAAGAATAGAGGAGGAAAAAATAGTAAACCAAACCAAATCGAAAGAAATTGTAAATGAAGCTAAAGAAAAGACGGTTCAAGAAGAATCAAAACAACAACTGGGCGAAAAAGTTAATCTTGAAAAAGAACGAGTTGAAGATTTAAATGAAATAAAAGCACAAGAAATTAAATCGGAAGTTGAAGAAAAAATGAAAAACAGAAAAGAATCTGAAGCAGAAAACATTGCAGAAAAGAAACAGCTAGAGGAAAAGAAATCAAAATCTGAACAAAAATCGCAACCAACAGAAGAATCAAAAGAAAAAGGTGTAAAACAAGTAGGTGAAGTTCAAAATGATGTTGAAGAACTGAAGGCGAAAGATAATGAAGATCCCAAAAAAAGGAAGTCTATTAAGAAAGAAACTAGTGAAGATAAAAAGGCCGAAAGTGTGAAACAAGTAGGTGAAATTATAAAAGATGATCAAGGATCGAAGGAAAAAGATGAACTTAAAAGAAGAAAATCTATTAAAAAAGAAATAAGCGAGGATAAAAAAACTGAAAGCGTTCAAGATGAAGTTCAAAAGGAGGAAGTAGAACCGAAGTTAAAAGATCATGAAGAACCTAAAAAAAGAAAATCTATTAAGAAAGAAACTAGTGAAGATAACAAAACTGAAACTGTAAAAAAATTAGATGAAATTAAAAAAGAGGAAGAAGAAACGAAGACAAAAGATGAACAGCCTAAAAAGAGAAAATCTATTAAAAAAGAAACTAGTGAAGACAAAAAAACTGAAAGCGTAAAACAACTGGATGAAGTCAAAAGAGAAGAAGCAGAACCAAAGGCAAAAGATAATGAAGAAACTCAAAGAAGAAAATCTATCAAAAAAGAAACTAGTGAAGATAACAAAACTGAAACTGTAAAAAAATTAGATGAAATTAAAAAAGAGGAAGAAGAAACGAAGGCAAAAGATGAACAGCCTAAAAGGATAAAATCTATTAAAAAAGAAACTAGTGAAGACAAAAAAACTGAAAGCGTAAAACAACTGGATGAAGTCAAAAGAGAAGAAGCAGAACCAAAGGCAAAAGATAATGAAGAAACTCAAAGAAGAAAATCTATCAAAAAAGAAACCAGTGAAGATAAAAAAGCTGAAAAGGTAAAACAATTAGATAAAAGTGAAAAACAGGAAGTAGAACCGAAGGCAAAAGATAATGAAGAAACCCAAAGAAGAAAATCTATCAAAAAAGAAACTAGTGAAGATAAAAAAGTTGAAAAAGTAAAACAATTGGATAAAGCTGAAAAACAGGAAGTAGAACCGAAGACAACAGATAATGAAGAACCTAAGAAAAGAAAATCAATTAAGAAAGAAACTAGTGAAGATAACAAAACTGAAAAGAGAAGAAAATCACTTCAAAAAGAGCCTGAAGTAATTTCAAACAAGTTGGAAGATAAACTAAAATCGGATATGGTGAAAGGAAAAATTGAAACCAAAGTTGTAGAAAATGAATCAATCCAAGAACAAACTAAAAAGAAAGAAATTGAACAAGATAATATTGAAATGGAAAAAAAAATTGATACATCAAAGGACTACAAAACACAGCCAATGGAAACTGAGGAAATAAAACAAACTTCAGTACAAGTAGATGACAAGACAAAAGATCTCGAGCAAAGAAAACCACCGAAAATTCAACAACGGGATACAAAAGAAAAAGAAGAATATGATCAATATAAAGATAAAAAACAACAACGTGAAGCAAAACGTAGACCTAATTTTGAAACGAAATTAACAAATAGGACTGCTGGTGTAGGTGGTGTTGTTAAATTAACTTGTAGCATATCTGGTTCAGATTTAACTATAAAATGGTATAAAGATAATACAGTGTTAATCAATGGATCAAAATATATGATTAATAATAATGATGGTATATCATCACTTGAAATTAAAAATTGCGTTTTAGCAGATACAGGCATTTATACATGTATGGCAACAAATCGTAATGGTGAAATTGAGACAAGTTCAATGGTAACTATATATGATACGCATAAACCTTCACAAGATTTATTAGTTGCGCCAATGTTTACTAGAAGTATAAAAGGTAAATATTTTAATAATTTATTGGACTTTTTTCCAAATTTTAAAAAATTTCATTTTCTAAAATATTTAAAACAAAAATATTTAATTTATAATTTACAATATTTTGTTATCTAAATTAGGTTAGGTTCTTGCATAATATTTAAACAAAAAATCGAAACAAAAATTTTTGAATAATTACTATCTGGGGCTTATTCCAAGTAAATGATAGTATAATATTTATCGTAAAAGTTTCTAAGATCCTATTATAGACGCGAATCATTTGTATGAAATGATTTGTATTTATAATAATAATATCGGATTTTCTACGATAAATATCACTATCGCTTAATGATCTGCATAGATTACCACTTACCAATATTATTATATGTTACATGTACTTATGTATGTATAGCAAAAAAAAACTATTACAATTGCCATAGTTTCTGAATATCGAGTCAGACAAAATTTTGCCGTTAGTTTGCCGAAAATAGGTGAAAATACACAGTGTATTTAAAAATAGAAGAAAAATTTTTTATTTATTTATTTCTTTTTTTTTTTGTAACAATCGGTGGTCATCAAATACTTGCCAAGCGTATATATGTATATATAAGTATATATACTATTTAGTATACAAATATACTAGTATACGTAATATATAAACGAAAACTGCAAACAATTGCAATAATATTTTAAAGTTTTATGCGTTCTATTTTGATTATATTAGATTGTTTTTTTTTCTGCTTTCTCTTTGAATTACATACACTATCGGAATGATTAAAAAAAAGGTATACTGACCAAATAACATTCTAAATAATATTTTTTTTGTTGTTTATTACAAAAATTAAAATTAGTTTAATAAAATCTAAATATATTTAAGTATTTTTCTTTTTCTAATTATTGCTATTAATAAAAAATAATGTTTACTTATTTTTATTTATTTTTAGTTTTTAAATGAAATTATTTAAAAAATTGATTCTTATATTATTAATTGGTATTGAATTAAGGATAGTTTTTGTTAAACTATTTTACCTATAGTTTTTAGTAGGTTAAGATAAAGAATAGACACAATTACCTTCCTCCACGAATAATTGAATAGTAATAATTAAATTGCATTCGTTTTAATAATTTATTTGTTTTCTTTTTGTTAAATAATTGTTAATAACAAATTTTCTATTTCCTTTATATTCTATCTATTTCAACAAATAATAAAAATAAAAAAAGGATCTACCGAATTAGAGGATTCGAATTAAATTCGAAAGCAATTGTGAAGTTCAATATAAAAGTAATTCACTGCTTAGTTTTCAACTAAAAAAAAAAAATTTAAAAATTTCAAGTTCTCCGAATCAATTGTATGAATTGATTAACACCAATTTTAAGAATATTTCGAATAAAATCGCAAAAAAAAATATTTCTTTATACTGCATATTCAATAATTCTGGATAATTCAATAATTTCTTGGTCTAAGCTGATATTTAATAGTAAAACTAGCGTTGAACTAACATTACATTAGTTTAATAATATAAAAAGTATTAGTATTTTATTGTTACCAGCTATACGTGTATTCAAAATTTACTATTGTTCATGCAAAATGAATGCGATGTACAAAAAAGATGAGGTTAGTCAACTGTAAAATTATTAAATTTTTGGCACAAAAAAAAAAAAAACATTCATAACAATAACTGTTATACAAATAATCATTCTTATTATTTCTCATATATCCAATATTTACTGCTAAACTAAATATATTTTAAAAATTATTTAACTTGTATATAATATATTGAGGTTAATTATTTTAAATGTGTAATTAAAATTATTTAGTTAAATTAAGAATATTTTTAAAAATGAAAAAAGTTTCTCATATATAAATGCATTTCTGGCATAAGCCAAAAGAAATGAGTAAGACTAGTATAATTTACATACCTGTATGGCATATATAATTATTTTTTATTTAAATTTAAATTTAGTTTATATATGAAATTTTTAGTGCATGAATATAATATTTCTATTTTGTTTTTTTTATATTAATCAGCTGTTTATATAGCCATAGCTTGATAAAATTTTATTATTTGTTATTTTTTGCTTTGCGAACAATATATTTTTTTGCACATGAATGAAATTGCAGTTCTATTTTGCTCTATATAATAAGTTCTAGTGCACAAAAAAAAAAAAAAAAATGTGAAAATGTGAGGAATTATCTACTTGTCTGAGGTCAGTATATACATTATATATTTATAGGGGTTATTATTAAAGAAGAACAATATTGTGGTACAAATTTCTGTAGTGTAACTAAGTTAATTTTGCTTGATTTTGATCTATTTTATACAAATACTTAAGATTATAAACAAATTTTTAAGGTGTTTTTTCTTTATTTCAATATTATCAGTTCTAAATTAAAAATACTTCCTGTATTTATATTCTTTTATTTATGTATTTTATTTATATTCATTATATGAATCAATTCGTGAAATTATTTTTCTAAAATTAATTAAATTTAAAAAAACGAATTTCAATAAGTCTCTTTTTATCATATGTGGTTGCCTTTTTTTAACACCTATTTATTTTTTTCATATACTTATTTACTGATAAAGAAAAAAACTTCTCATATTGTAGTAATGACAGAGTTAGATATATTTTTTAGAAAAAATTTAATTGTGAATTTGGCACATGATATAAAATTCAACAATAAATTATTGCCAACTAAATAAAAAATTTATTTTTGTATTGATTTTCAATCTATTTTTTCAAAAATTTTTTTAAAAAAGTTTTAGTCGTAATTTTAATCTCCATCGAGGCGGTCGATAATCGAATTATTTGAATATCGAATTCGACGAAAAAAAAAAAAAAATCGGTATATTTCATAATTTCGAAATATATTTCTTTTAGAAATATATTGATTATATTAATTAAAAACTTTTAATTAAAAATTAATTAAATAAAAACAAAAAACAAAAATTTAAAAAAAAATGGGTGCGACAGATGGTGAAACACCAGAAGGAGAACCAGCTCCAGCTGAAGAACGTGAATCTAGTATGGATACATTAGCTGTACCAGTAACAAAAAAGAAGAAGAAATCGCCAACTCCTGTAGCAGCTAGAGATCGAAGCTCTCTAACACCAGTTCGTGGTCGTAGTCAAACTCCATTTTCTGCGTATATGAATCGTCGGAGCGCTACTCCTTCGGGAGTACCATCACAATGGAGAAGTATAACTCCATTTTTAAAACGCGAAGAAAAGGAAAAAACACCTTTTGAACTCGGTCATGATTTAAAAGCTCAATTAATTAGCAATAAATTAGTTTTTGATAAAGCACTTGTAATGGATATTACCGAACCAGAAGATCCACCCGCACGTTATATAACATCTGATGTTTCTGTTATCGATCGCGCTGCCGTCATGGATGTTTCGAATGTCGAAGTTATTTATCTAATTGAAGAATACGAAGAAGCTGAACCCGAACCTGTAGAAGAAGTAGTTGTTACGAAAAAACCTAAAGCTAAGAGGACACCACGTAAAAGTAGAGGTGCCTCAGCGGACAGTAAAGTTTCGGAATCGCCTGCACGTGAAGATTCTGTTGGTATAGAAGATGAAAGTCCAGCACGAGAAGAAAGTCCAGCAGGAGAAAAAAAGAAAGCGCCTAAAAAGAAAGCTGTAAAAAAAGAAAAGAAAGAACGTTCACCGTCTCCAAAATTAACTTTAAAATTGGATTTGGGGCCTCCACCTGGATCAAAAGCGAGTAAAAAAATGTTTGATCAACCACCACCCGCACCTGATAAGAAACCACCATCAAAGGCCGCTGGTAAAAGTAAATTGGCACTTCAAATGGAAGAACAAGCGAAGAAGGCAGCAGAAGAGGCTGCTAAAGCAAAAGAAATGCAACAGAAACCTAAAGGAGAAACCTTTGAAGAAAAACAAAAACGGTTGAAAGCTGAAGCGGAAGAAAAGAAGAGATTGGAAGAGGAGGAGGAAGAAAGAAGACGACTTGAAGAAGAAGCTGCGGCTGCTGAGGAAGAAGAAGAGCACGACGAAGATTTAGATGATGAAGATGCCTCATATGCTGTAGAAGAAGCTGACGATGAATACCGAGATGAAGACGAACAAGAAGAAGATGAAGAAAAAGAACCCGAACCAGAAACAAAGGAATCATCAGTTGAATCATTTTTGCGTCCAGATCCTGAAGAAGAAAAATTATGGCAAAGTATTGCTGAAGAGGAAGGTCAGGAATTTATTGATAGAATTCGTAAATTTAGAAGCGAACAACGTGAATTGTTAAGTGAGAAAGAAAGGGACGCTACTTGGCAATTGAGAAGAGAAAAAGCGCGGCAACCTAAATTTATTAATTTCTTAACTGATAGAGCGGCCGAAGAAGGTCAAAATGTTAGACTGGTATGTGCAGTTGCTGGACCAGAATTATCCGTTAAATGGTTTAAAGATGGAAAACAACTAGATCCAGGCCCACGTTACCGAATAATAAACAATAATAATATTTTGTCTTTAACTTTAATTAATCCTACGATAATGGATTCAGGTGAATATACGTGTCTTATTTTGAATCCAAATGATGAGGCTCAATCAACTGCAATAGTTACAATTTATCAAGTCTTTAAAGACGAACCAAGTCCGCCAATGTTTAGTTTAATAAGAGGTAAATATTTTGTATTACAATTTTTTTTTGAAAAAATTTTTATGCATAAATTTCAAACTTTGCAGACTATTTCCATTTGCACGATGACGAATTGACTATTGAATGTCATTGCCATGGTGTTCCTAGGCCACGAGTTACATGGACAAAAGGAGGGCTACCTATTAAACCAAGTTTCAAATTTACAATATTGGAAGAAGCTCATGGCGTTCATAAATTGCTAATTTATCGTCCGTCTGATAAAGATAGTGGAATGTACGTATGTAAAGCTGTTAACAACGTAGGAGAAGCTGAAATTTCTCACAATGTTGAATTTGTTAAAAATCGCCATTGGCATGGGCGTGGTGTACATCTTGCACATGATTTTATTTCACAAGCCATGCAAGCTGAAGCAGCGAAAGCTATGGAAGAGGCTATGAAATCTAAAGCAGAATCAGATCGTAAATACGTTTCTGCATATACTCGTGCTCAAGACGAACCACAAGTATCCCCGAAACAAAAATTAAGAATTGCCACACATTTAAGAGATCGTATCGCTATAATTGGTTCATCTGTAAAACTATGTTGCAATATTTTGGGACCAGATCCACGAATACAATGGTTAAAAGATGACAAGCCAATACAATGGGGCGCTAAGGTTAGAAATCTCTCAAATGAAGGTAGAGCGGTTTTAGAATTGAATGAACTTGAAGCTTCAGCATCAGGCGTGTATAAATTGATTGCCAAAAATGATCATAGCGAAGTCAATACTTCGTGTTATTTAAAAGTACATTCGGCTCAAACAGAAGGTGATGAATCGGAACCAATGTTTGCATTGCCAATAAAAGGTAAGATAGGTCAATAAAAAAATGTGTTTTTCTTTGTATTATTTGTTTTTTATTCAGTACACGTTTTGTTCCAATACAATTTTGCAACATTTTGCATTTTTTTTTTAGATTTTTTTCATATGCTATTCGTATGTATGCATTTTTTATTCAAATGTGTCAGTTATAATTTTTTTTCATTTAATTAAATTTTTTTTAATTTTCTTTAGATGTATATCATTCTTCTGAAAATGATTTGGTAATAAGCACAAAGGTACGTGGCAATCCCCGGCCAATAATTAGTTGGATGAAAGATCAGTTGCCAGTTGTATTAGATAGTCGTATACAGCAAATCGAACATTTAGACGGAATTTGCGAATTAATTATTAACAAACCGATACAAGCTGAAAACGCTGGTTTATATACTTGTGTTGCTAAAAATAAATTAGGTGAAGCTACTTCCTCACACACCGTTGCTGTCGATAATTTACCAACGTCAAGAAGATCTAGTTTAAGTTTAAGCTTAAGTATGGAGGAAACACGTTCAAGACGTGGAAGTACAATTGGAGCTGGAGAAGATGGTACCTCGGCACCAAAACCTTCGCGAAAAAAACAACAAGAAACACCAACTGGGGAATATGAACGTCGACATGTTGCTGTACCGGAACCATCCATAAAAGAAAAACTTTATCTTAGTTCAATTTTGCATAATCGTTATGTGCCCGAGGGCAAAAGATGTAAACTACAAGCAATGATTGTGGGGCCTGATCCGCAAATAAGGTGGTTAAAGAATGGACAAAATGTTGTTTATGGTCCAAAAATAAGGAATATGTCAGCTATGGGCATGGCAGTTTTAGAATTTCTTAGTCCTACTGAAGATGATTCCGGAGAATATACATTAATTGCTCGAAATTCGGCAAACGAAGTGCAAAGCTCTGCTAAGTTAGAAGTTTATAGCACTCAAACGACTACTGATATTGAACCAGTTTTCACTCGAGCCTTGAAAGGTGAGCAAGCAGCAATAATAACTTGTTTCATAATCAAGTTATTCAGTCATTTGAAAATGTGATAAATTCTTTTTTTGAATTGATAGTGAAATTTTTTTTTTTTTTTTAAGATTCTTTTATTTGATTTTGAAGGAAAAAATAGTTCGATCTAAATTTAGATTTTAAACTTTTGCGTAACAATTAAATGAAATAATTAAATTGTTACGCAAATATTTGATGATCACGAAAATTTATTTATTTTAGATTGAATCGATATTATATTTCATGATCGCTTAATTTATTTAATTTTTTTTTTTTGATTTTATTTTTAGATACTTATCATTTAAATAGACATGAACTAATTTTGGAGACACATTGCCGTGGTGATCCTAAACCAGACATTGCTTGGTATAAAGACAATATTCAAATTACACCAAATGAACGTATTGAAATAGTAACAGATGTTCATGGAAATTGTGAATTAATAATTGATAAACCAAACAAAAATGATTCTGGAAAATATTCATGTCGAGCTGAAAATAACTTAGGTAAATCTGAAGTAGCACATTACGTACTATTTGAGAACGAAGCTTCAGTGGTAGCTGAAAATATCCATGGTGTTTTCCATGCTGATAAAAATTTGATGAAAAAGCACCCTCGTGAAGAAGCGGTCGAAAAACCTTCTGAAAAAGAAAAGAAAGGTAAAGGTGGAAAAGAGCCAAAGGATTCTAAGGAACCCACCCCATCTACACCTGCTGAGCCTGAAAAGAAACAGAAACGTGAAAAGAAAATCGGTATTCATTTCCCAACAAAATTGATGAATCGTGTTGTCGCTGAAGGCACTAAACTAAAATTATCATGCTTTGTTCAGAGTCCTGACCCAGTAGTAAAATGGTTCCGTGATGATCAACCAATTGCTTTTGGGCCAAAATCAAAACTTGGTTTCAATCAAGGCTTATGCACACTTGAACTACCATCCCCAACTGTTGAAGATTCCGGTACATATAAAGTTGTTGCAAAAGATGGTACTGGTGAAGTAATAACTTCATGTAAAGTTGAAGTATATGCTGATCCAGGTAGTGGTGATGTTGCTCCGACATTCACTCGTGGTATTAAGGATACATATTCTGGTAAAACCAATGAACTTGTTCTTAATTGTCATGTTAGAGGATTACCTCAACCAGAAATAACATGGCTTAAAGATGGCATTAAAATTGAAGCTAGTGAAAGATATCAGTTAACGGAACATAGTGATGGTACTTGTGAGCTATTTATTATTGGTCCGATACCAATAGACAGTGGTAAATACACCTGTAGAGCTGAGAATCGATTGGAAGAAGTTGAAGTATCACATCAAGTTGTCGTTGAACCGAGAATGGTTAGACCAATTTCACCAACTAGATCAGAAGATACGGATGCATCGAAAGCGGCTTCACGTGAGGCTTCCATTAAACCGCCATCAACTCGCGAAAGCTCTGTTGCAGGACCAGCTGAAGAAGAACAAAAAGGAAAAAAAAAGAAACAACCTCAAGTTCAAGAATATAGTGGACGTCGTAGTCCACCTCCACCACCAGATCCAAAGAAAAATCTTCACTTTGCTAATACATTAGCCAATAGAACGGTTCCGGAAGGTTCTAAAGTTCGAATGAGTGTTGCTATATTTGGACCAGATCCACAATGTCGTTGGTTTAAAGTTGGACCAGAAGGTGATGTGCCTATTGCTTTCGGTCCTAAATCGAAAATGTCGGCCCAAGATAATTTAGCGGTTTTGGTATTAGACCAGCTTACAGAAGCAGATTCTGGTGAATACAAGTTAGTTGCACGTGGTTCTGAAAATACTGTAGAAACATCTTGTAAAGTTTTGGTCTTCCCTAAAGCTAAAAAGGTAGAAGAAGTTGCACCCGTATTTACGGTCGGTATAAAAGGTAGGCTTCTTCAAATCAAATTTTACGTTAAATGTAAAAGTGATAGAATCCTCTGTTGTTCGAAAACGCCTTTTGAAACTGTTTTACAATTGTTGTTACAATTTTATGTAAGAAAGGTATGTATAATTTTTAATGTGTTTTAAAAAATTATTTTTGTTTTTATGTTTTAAGCTTATCTCTATACGCATTAAATACTTTAAATTTTTCTCTTTTATAAAATAGCTATATAGCACTAAATGATTAAAAGACGCATAAAATTTTTAAATATTTGTAAAAATCTACTGTATATAAAAAAATTGTAAATAGCTTCTGTGGAAAAGTTTGTATATAACTTAATATGGCTTCGAATTGTGAAGATGTAAACCATGATACAATATTGAAAATTTTTATAGAATAAATTTCAATAATAGTATAGAAAGATTTTAGGCTTCGCATAATTATGTTATTATTATTATAATATATAGCACGAATTCATTCAATCGTAGTACAGTTTGCATTAGATTGCATAATGCATAATCTCGCCTAATCATTTTTCGAAAATTTGTAGACGAATTTGTAATTTGTATTAATTATTTTATAATTTTGAAATAATTAAAGGAAAGAAAAATAATTAGAAAAAAAACTTAGAAAAATATTGTATTAGAAATAGGAAATTGTATAAAAATATAAATTACAAATTAATCATAACAATTAATTCATCATAATTTTTGGGGGAAAACATCAAAAAAATTTCAGATTCATATCAATCTCATAACAATCAAATTATTTTGGAATGTAAGCTAACGGGAGATCCAAAACCAAAAATTTTATGGCAAAAGGATAATATAGATATTTTATCATCATTAAATTCTGATAATAGATTTAGTGTTGAAGAACAAGAGGATGGTACAATTCAACTTATAATTAAAAATCCGGTTAAAGATGATACTGGAATATATGTATGTCATGCAGAAAATGAAAAGAGTAAAGTGAAAATTAGTAAATTTTTGGATATAACAGATCATGTTCGAATTCAATCTGAACGTAAAGAAAAGAAATTCCAAGAATTAACTGAAGAAATTGAAAGACGGCGTTCAATAACAATGGAACGACAACAATTGGCTAGCCAAAAATCAAAAATATTTATTGATACAAATTTCAAAGATTTAACAACCGAATTATATAATAGAGCATACATATATGGTTATATTAGAGGTGTTCCCGATGAGATAGTCTGGTATAAAAATGATAAAATTATACATCCATCTAGTTCAAAATATAAGATGACAAACAATAAAGATGGTCTTGTAACATTAGAAATATTTAATGCTACATTAGAGGATTCTGGTACATATAAATGTTGCTTGAAGAATATGCAAAATGAAATTGAAATAAAATCTAATGTTAAAATTTATGAAAAAAGTGACGATTGGTTACCATCATCGTTTTCATCTTTCATTAAAGGTATTTGCTCTTTTTTTTCTCTTTACCTCCAACTTAATTAATTTTACAATAAGTGAATTTAAAAATGCCAACAAATTTCTTTTCTGAAAGTAATAATGCCTATTTAACTCTGAACTTTCATTTAATTAGGAAAGTTTTTGCTTGATTTTATTTTTGTGTTCATTTTACTTAGTAACGAAATATTTGAAATTTAGATCCGATTTAAAGTGTTCCAACGGATCCAGCCTTTATTATTAGTGTAGTTGATTTTATATAAATTTTTCCTTATATTATTCAATGAATTTCAATGAATTCTTCAATTCTTTTTGATTTTGAATAAAATTTAACGAAGCAAATTCACTTTAACGCTATTCAATCCCTTTCATTACAAAAACTTAAAATATTACTAAATTCCTTCTCGAAATAAACAAATTATTTTCCCTTAAATAATTTCACTTAAACATTTTACATAATATTCATTTAAAATAAAAATTATTTTTTTCTTCTTAAAAAAAAATTAATTAAACACAAAAAAAAAACAAAAACGAAATGAATTCATCAATAGAATCATACGATTCACGTAGAAATGAAATAACATTAGAAGTAGGAGTTCATGGCCGACCAAAAATTTCATGGTTTAAAGATGATTTTGATATAACAAGCGGTCGTTATAGACAAATTGAAGAAGCGGGTGGTATACGAAAATTAATAATACGTAACCCAGTGCTGAGTGATTTTGGTACATTTATATGTAGAGCTGAAAGTGATAATATTTGTGATGAAATAACGTCACAAATTGACAAATTAATATTAGAAACTGATACATCAGGACAAAATGATGATGAACCATATACAAATGGTTATTATGATAAATATGAAGATAATGACTATTCAACAGGAGTTGGTAAAAATCGTGATCGTTTTGCATCATCAATATCACGTTTGAGTAGAGATCGTTTATCACCATCAGTATCACGTGATACAATTAATAGATACAGATCAATGAGTGAAGCATTATCTAATAGTACATCATCATTATATGTTAGAGATTCGAAAAAGAAACCTGTTTTTACCACAGAATTACGTGATAGAACTGCTATGGAAAATTCAACTATACGATTAACATGTAATATTATGGATGATGGTGATACTGATGTTTTATGGTTGAAAAATAATATGCCATTACAACCAAGTACACAATATAGAACAATATATGATAACGGTTTAGCAACATTAGAAATATTTTCGGTTACACCAGATGATTCTGGAAATTATTCATGTGTAGCTAAAAATCAATATGGTGAATCATTTTCGTTTTCACATCTTAGGGTTCATAAGGGATATGAAGCATCTCAACAGCCAATTACATTTACTCGTTTCATAAGAGGTATATTCATATAATATACAATATAATAACATATTTGTAAAAAAAATTAAATCCTCTCTATTTTTCTAATTTTAAATACAAAATATATACATATAAGATTTTTAAGCTATTTTGAACAGATTCATAAAGTAAACAAACAATAATGAATTTTTTGAATTTTGAATTTTTGATATTAAAAATGAAAAAAAGAACTGTACTTGTGTTTGTATTGTTTACTGTATGTTCTTGTCATAGATTTCAATGTCATTGTTAGTCATGTAAATTTACTGATTCTTGTCATATTGTAAAGATTATATAAGTGTTAATTTAAAATTGAGGTTATTTTGGAAGTTAAGTTCAAAGGATATTAAAGAAATTGCGAGTTTATTATTAATTTAAAATGTAAATATAAAATAAGATAACCATAAAAAGAACAAAAAACATTTTGTGAAACTAATTAATATTTAATTAAACACGCACTAAATGCAATTAAACTAAATTTAATTATTTAAACAATTTATTAACGAAATTTGCATTAAAATTTTTTATTTTTTTTTATATTTCGTACTTTACTTTTGTAAATTTATTTCAAAATCTTTTTTGTAACTAATGATTCTTTTTAATATTACGTAAATTGTGAGCGAAAAATTGTAAGCACCATGCAAATTTTACTGCAATTTATACACGAGGTGGCAACTCTTGAATAGTAAAGGAGTGTTTAATGTACGTAGATGTCAAATTTTATTAATTTGAAATTTTTATAACAAAGTAACTACTTATTATAGTTACTACAAAAATTTTATACGATATGGGTATACTTGTTCATAAAATACACTCAGATTTTTGTAAGCATTTAGGAAAGAAATTAGAAATAAATTAAAAGAGGAGCGATAACATTGTAATGTTATTTAAGATGTTGCTTATGCATTTACTATTTTCGAATTCCTTGATTGAAACGGCAAAATAGTGTAGTTTGCAGCATCTTCATGAAACGCTATAACAGTAAGTGATGAAGGGAATTCACAAGCAGATGGAATACAAGAGCAGAATGTTACGTTAAGGAAAAATTGTTTAAACTTAAATTTCCGAATTGTATTCTGAAAAAAAAATATCCAAAAAAATTTAACTTCCAAAAAATCTTTAACGTTTAAAATAATTTTCAAATAAAATTGTTACATAAATTTTTAAAATTAAAAATTTGTATTGCATCGTTTGCCAAAAAAACAGATAACTATTCATTGCAAGATGATGAATTGGTACTTGATTGTCGTGTACGAGGTGTTCCAAGACCAAAAATACGATGGATTCGCGATAGTGTACCAATTGCTGCCGATGAGAAAAAATATTTACAATATGATCAAGCTGATGGATTATGTCGTTTAGTTATTAAAAATCCGACACAAAAAGATTCTGGTAATTATGTATGTGAGGCTGACAATAATGTTAATGTTGAAAAAATATCACATCATGTTGATTTTGCTGGAAAAGAACGTTATATACAAGAGAAAACACTAGGTTATTTCCATCGTGATCTAAATAAACCACATTTAGTTTCTCCATTGGGTACACATATAGTAACTGTAGGTGGTACAATTGCTATTACAGCTGAATTTGCTGAAACATGTGGACAAGTTGATGTTCAGTGGTTTAAAGATAAACACCCAATTGATAAATCAGCTACAAAATCATTTTCTGAAGCAAACGCACATATATTGACTATTGAAAATGCTGGATTTGATTGGGATGGAACGTACACATGTCGTGCAACAAATGCATATGGTAAAATTGAAACAACTGCAAATGTTGTTATTAATGGTGATGCTGGCAAATCAAAACAAGTTCAATTCTTATCGAAACCAGAATCTGAAATGAAAATTCTTGTCGGTGATCCATTCTCAATTTCGTTTAGAGTGCAAGGTGATCCGAAACCGAAATGTAAGTTATTATTATGTTTCTAACATATCGTATTATTATGAAAATATGTTGTGGAAATTATTTAAAAATTCACGAGGTATTTTTAAATTCACTTAATTTTAACCATTCACTTTTCAGTGACTTTAATGAAGGGAGCAAAAGATATAACTCGTTCGGAACGTGTTACAAGAGAGGCACATGATGATTATATACGATTTACAATTCATGATTCAACAACTAGAGATTCTGGAACATATTTTGTTGTAGCACGTAATGAAGTTAGCTCAGATAGAATTTTCACAACTGTGAATGTAAGTATTTGAAATAAATCTTCGAATTGGAATATTTTTGATTAAGTCAAAATAATATTTTTTTTAATGAAGATTTTATTATATTTTTAACAGGTGCATTTACTTATTAATTAATTTATTTTAACTATAAATATTAAAATTTTTATTTAACCACATTTATACTAATTTTATATTAATATTTTCTTTACTTTCATGCTATGCATTTAATAATTGCTTGAAAATTGCATAAACACATAGGTTAAAACTCCTACTCCTAAAGAACCTAAAGAAACTAAATAAATTTTATATATTTATTAAAAAACAAAAAATAATTTTGGCTGTTATAAATTTATACACGTGTAGGTTAAAGAACGTGCTCGATCTGCAACTCCAACACTACCACGTTGGGGTAGACCCCTAGATGCATATCCAGAAACAACATTCTTCAAGAGTAAGTAAATTATATTTAAAAAAAATTATATATTTATAAACTACTTGTTCATTATCGTTGTTAAAAGCAAATATTTATGTTAAAATTTCCTTTTATCCATCATTGATTGTATAAGTAGACAGCCTTTTACAAATATTCCTGATCTTAGGCTTTTAAAAAATTCAGATTAGAGTCCAATGTAATATTGTTCAATTCCTAAGATTTATTTTAATTTTTGAAAATTTTTATTATTTATTTAGTTACGTTCTACGTATTACGTTCTTTTCAAGTCTTTTCAAATTTTAAACGGCTCAATTAATTTTGTCCCCAAACTTAATGTACACAATAATTGTTGTGATACAAATTTACTATGAAAAAAATTTATGTGATACGAAATTACGCACAATTTTTCGAACTTTCAAGTGATGAGCTATTTAGAGCGATTATAAAACTAAGCTCATAGTTTCATTTTAACTTGAGATAAAGTCTGTAGTTGTCTAAAGTAGCGTTTAGAGCTCTGATGTTGGATCTAAACATTATTTGGGCTGCAATGTATTTATCTGAATTATGAAGTCTTTTTGTAGAATTGTGAAGTTTTTCGGAAACGAGATCTAAAAGTTTAAAGAATGGAAAAATTTCTTGATATCCCGGGATTGCGCTTTGAAATTTGGTAAACATAGTATGGAATAAAGTTTGGAAGAATCCTATTCCGAAATATAAATATATATCAAATACCTATATATATGTTTTTGTCAAATTTTCGAATCTTTTAAAAATTTTGGCAACAAATTATTATTAGAGACTATTTAAAAAAAAAAAAATAACTACATATTTTAATTATAGATTATTTTATTAGTTTCGTATTGATATTTGTTTAAAAGTATAAAAGCGTTACGATTAATAACATATGATGTACATACACATATCTTGTATCAAAGTATATTATGTGCGGTTGCGAAACAAAACTGTAAAATTGTATTTTTGTTTGTTTTTACGTATTCTTCTTTATAAGTTTATGTATTTTACATCTTATGTAATTTTTGTAAGTGTAAGTCACATAAGTTAAGTGTCACATCTTATATATTATGTTGCGATTGTCAATACTGTGTGATTCGCAAATATTTGTTGTTTTGAATGGTATTATGTTCAAAATGCAAAAACAAAAGTAAAATAAATATTAATGTGACATTTTCTTCTTTCCGAAACCTTCTTTCAGAAATGCATCAACTAAATGAAAAAAGAAAAACGAATTCTATATGCAGTCATAAAATAACAGTCAAAATGAAAATTTTACAGTTATACTTCATAGTTTGATGTTTGAGCCCCACTATTTTTTTTTTTTGTATAAATTAATTAAATCTACAAAATATTATAACGATATTTTTTTTTACTTAAAGGTTTTATTTAAAATTATTTTTTTTTTTAAATTGTTTTTAATTTTTTTTTTATAAAATAAATTTGTATATAAAAGAACTAAAATATACAATAATTTTACATACATCCATACAAGCAGCAGTTAATATATAAGAATCAAATACATACATATATAATTTTGCAGGAATTTTAAAGAAAAACAAACATAAAATTTTTATTTAAAACTCGAATAAATTAAATAAAAAAATAATAAATTATATTTTATAATTAAAAAGCACAAAAAAAAAATTATCAAGGAAATGCAGCAAAACAATAAATAATAATTATATAAATTAAAAAAAAAAACCAAAAAAAAAACAAACAAAAAAATAATGTTACATACTTATTTTACAATTTTGTATACTGTATTTAAATTTTATTTTTATTTTAAAACTACACAACTTCTTTGAAAATCCATTTTTAAAAAAACACATAAGAATTATTAAATTTTACATAAACATATAATTATATTATTTTTGATATAAAAATGGAAAATAAAAATTGTTTTCTCCGGGGAAAAAAGTTTTTGTGAGCACGAAAATAAAATTACTTGGTATGTTTTATTATTTTGTGAATAATTGTATAAAACTTCCAGGGATATAAACTTCTCGATATCAGCTTGAGATTTCTTTAATTTTAGATTAAAATAAGAGGGAAATTATAATTTAATCCATATAAATATATTCATTTGAATTTGATTAAGAGCAATATGAAAACATCGATTTTTGAAGTGAAAGGAAGCCTTACCAAAATACAGATCTAATGTCAAATTAACTTATTCTGTAATTAAAACAGTATTGCACTAATTTCTTTTTTTGATATAATAAAATTTTGACATACTCTCTTTAAATATTCATGTAACACATTATACATCATTAATGTAATTTATGACAATTACGTTAACTTCGTTCATAGTTCTGACTAATTACGTACCAATGTGAGCTTTAATTTAAAAAAAAACCCTTCTTACTCCTCGTACCTTATGAGAACAATATTTTCCATCCACTTTCTAAGTTTATAATTTTACGATGTGACGAGAAATGAAAAAATTTTATGATTATTGTCTGCTATACTCAATTAAATCAAACTGTATTCTAATAACTCCAACTTAAATTATTTAATGTAAGTATATTATGACCTTAAAAGGACGATCAAAAATAAAAATTTAATAAAAGCAATATACTGGCATTAGTAAGTCATTTGTACACCTAAAAATGTTTATTAATATAATCTGTAATACAATGAGAAACTCTGAGATTTATTATTAAAAAAAGTATATGAAATTTAATAAGCAGTTATAGTAAGTAGACTAAATATTATAGTAATGATATCGTTGATTAATTCTGAAATTTGCTAACTTTCTTTAAGTCCTATACTGAAACTATACTGCAAATACAGAAAGGAATTAAACTTTCTGGCTACCTAAATTCGACCAGATTCCGGTCGACTTCTTGTTTCAATTTTTCTACATTCCACAAGATCTCTGAGAAACTTCCAGAACATAAAAAAAATTATACGCTTTGTTTAAATTAGGTTTATTTAAGTTGCATACACTAAACTTCTGGATAATCTATTTGGAATAGTGAAAATTGTTTGAATTACGAAAAATAAATATATAATAGAATTGTTTAGCAAATTAAAAATATTAAGCAATTCTTTTTCTTTTTTTAATTTTTAATAGATCCACCTGGTCCGATATCGTCACATCCTTTAGTTGTCGATGCTGGTAAACATCATATAAGCTTGCAATGGGGTAAACCTATTCCAGGCGATTCAGCTCCGGTAGTTGCCTACCGGGTTGACGTTTGGCAACTTGGTAGTGATGGTGGTGCACAATGGCGAGAGCTTGGTATGACACCTATTAATTCATATGATGCATTTAATTTAAAACCTGGATGCGAATATCATTTTCGTGTAACACCAAGAAATCGTTATGGATGGGGTCCATCTGTTCAAACAAGTAGTCCTGTTACAATTGGTGGAGCAGAATGTCTTCCAGAATTTATTAAGATTTTATCTGGTCAAATGAAAGCACTTAAAGATCAAGAATGTGTTTTGGAATGTGTCGTTAAAGGAACACCTAGACCACGAATTGTATGGTATAAAGATGGTCAACCGATAATGTCTACAGATCGTGTTATGATTAAGCAGGTCGGTTTCACGTGTCGTCTTCGAATAAGTCAAACAGATGATAACGATTCCGGGCGTTATACATGTGAAGCTAGTAATAGTATTGGAAGAGTTTCAACATTTGCACGCCTTCAAGTTGTTTCAGATCCAAAGATTTATGCAGCTGATAGTAAACTGAAAAAATATGTTGAAATGGAAGATGAAAAAGCTAGTGAAATGATACCGATGTTTACGATGAGATTAAGAGATCGTCGTGTTCAAGTAACGTATCCTGTTAGATTAACATGTCAAGTTGTGGGTTACCCTAATCCAACTATAACATGGTCAAAAGATGGCAGTGAAATTGAAAATGATGGAAGATTTTTAGTATGTGATGATGGTCAATTTAATACATTAGAAATATCCAAAACTACTCTAGATGATATTGGAACTTATACAGCAACAGCTAAAAATGATTTAGGTTCAGTTTCATGTAATTGTTCTCTAATAGTTGATAAAGGTATTAGAGCATATATTGCTCCAGATTTTTATATGCCCTTGGATCCTGTATATGTATTTAAAGAAGGCCAAGAAATTCGTTTAACGGCTAAAGTTGAAGCATATCCATCAGTTGGTGTATCGTGGCATAGAAATGGAGCAAGATTAAGGCCGAGTAGAAAAATTTTAGCAACACTAAATTATGATGGTTTCGTTGAATTGATTATAGCAGAAGCTAGTGTCAAAGATGCTGGTATTTATGTTTGTAGTGCTTCAAATCCAGTTGGCAAAGTTGAGAGTACTTGTAAAGTTATAATAGAAGAAGCAACGGAAGAAGAATTACGTAGTTCTAAACCATCTGTATTGAGAGGCAGCGATAAGCCGTAAGTATTTTGTGATTTATTTAAAATTATAAGTTTTAATAGTTTAATTTTTTTTTTGAATTTGCATTTTTTAGGTATTCAAAAGAACCAATGTTTGTTAAAAAGCCGCGTTCTAGTGAGGCATATGAAGGTGATACCGTCATCTTAAGTTGTGAAGTAGTTGGTGATCCTATTCCAGATGTTGTTTGGCTTAGAGACTTTATGAAGGTATGTTATTTTTTTTATATATGTGAAAATAATGTAGAAATGAGTTTATAGGAAGTCAGATGAAAAATATACAATTTTTAAATAAATATATAATTTTAGAAATGCTATAAAATATTTGATTAGAATTTTAAAATCTATATAGTAAAAGTATATGTATGTGCGATCTACCTGACGTGTAAATTGCCATATCATGACGAATTTTTAAATATTTATATTTAAATTTGCATAAAAGCCAAAATAGTTGAAACCGCAATTGTAAAAGTATAACCTTTTTAAGAATTAAAATTTTTGTTTAAATCAGCAAAAGTAAAACCTTGTACGTTCATACTCTTTTTAATCTGTAAAATAATGTTTAATTTTTTTTTATCTTTTTAATTTATTTATCACCTTTTATGTAATAATGCCTGTTAAATTGAGTATTTTTGGTTTTATGTTCATAGTTGAATTGAGCACGTTTTTATTCAATTTATATGCCAATCATTGTTTTAAATTATATTTAACCTCTTTAACTTTATAATAATTATAATGTAATCGCTTACAGGTTATTTAAAAATTTAAAGAGTATATTTATATATGTATATATTTAGATAAACAAATTAACTATCACATTATAATAAGAATATTAATATATATTTATTTCTTTTAAAGATAATTACCATATTAGTTAATAATAATATTGTAATTATATTCATTTTACATAATTATATTCTCAAACATGTGCACATTGACATTGACTTTAACATGTATATAGTTTTGCAGCAATACTAAATTCATAATTAAAATTTTTTTTTAATTAAATTAACAGAGTTAAAAGAATAAGAAGAAAGATTTTAAAAATTTAAAATTAATTTAAAATATGCAAGAGTTACAAAATCAGTTGTAAAATTAATTAGAACTCTAATTTTTCAAAAGAGCTAAAAGTCAATAATAGTACAATTGTCTTGAAACATTTTGTGTCTGCAAGAGCTCAATGAAATGTCACATAACTTTGACATGTTTGAGAGTATGAAAGCAGTCAAATTTTCAAAATTTAACTTTGCAAAGTCATTTTTCGAAATTTACAGAATTTTTCTAAAATTTCGTATATTTTAACTTTTGCTTTTTTTATTTTTTTTTTATTTTTATACTTATTTGCGCATATAATATTCTATACACAGTTATATACATATGTATGTACATATGTACTTATTCGTTCACATCAATTTTATATATTCGAATTATTTTCCATAAAAAGAAAATTTTTATTTTCCATTTCCATAATATATGGACTTGGAACGATGTTATAATTACAATTTTAATTTCTATTTTCGTTTGATTCTGCACTAAAAATAATCTCTTGCCAAATTAAAAGAACAGCGATTAATTAATATGCGGGCAAAGGCATGGCCAAGGAGCTTTAGATTCTGTGGGATAATGGAGGAGATTTTGATGCACCTACTCGATGAGTATAGAGCGTTGATCCAAATGAGAAGGGAGACTCTGAATGGTTATGTCCTGGAAGAAAGAGGAATATAAATTCTTTAAAAATAATTTCGGTCATACAAATACGTGCCTTCATCTTGCATTTACTAAAAATATCTTCCATACGATTTCCATGTATTTACTATAAAAATACCAAATATGCCATATGACCATTATGTAAAATAGTTATATGAACAATTAGTTTGAGCACAGAAAGTATATGTATTGTGAAAAATTTTAAAAATTATAACCATCACAATAAATTGGAGAAACACTGTTGCGGCCCGTATATATTTATACCCAATCTTAAATATAAGATGAATATAATATATACATATGCGTATGTATGTATGTACACCTCTAAAATTCCTTTTCTTATTTTTTTCATATAATTATTGTAAGGTGGATTTAGCAGTTTTTTTTTATTTTATTTCTTTATTTATTTTTATCTACTTTTATTTTTTAAAGTTGTAACTCAGTAACCCAGAGAATGAATAATAATAATGGCCATGATGACGATGAGAATTTGAGATTTTCCTTTTTTTTCTCGTTGTTTCTTATTTTATTTTATTTTGTTTTGTAATTTTTAAACTCGTTACAGTCACTTAGTTCACGTTTATGTCGTCTTATTATATAAATATTATGGTACTGAAACCAAATTAGATAATAGATATTATAGATATATTTAAATAGCAGAAAAATATACAATTAAGATGACAAATAGTTAAACCATAAAGAAATTTATGCATTCGTATATGAAACGTATTTATATTCGAATATTGTTGTAAAGTACTTACATACTTGCAATAATAAATATTTTGCGGTATTTAATACACTATGTACATAATTATACAAACAAATGTATTAGATATGTAGTTTGTATGTTATGAAAAACAAAAAATAAATCACAATGGTTTGACGACGAAGGCGCATTTGTAAGTACTCTAAATCTAAAAAAAAAATTTGAGTTTTGATTTTTTTAGTAAAAATTTTTTCATTTAGTTTAATTTCAGTCTCAATTACGTTTAAATGTTAATCGTATTGTTTGTGTTCGGTTGAAGTGCAAAAAAAAATATTTTTTATTACTCGTAATAATAATTTTGTCGGTATCTGCCTGTTTGCAACATAGCATATTAGATTTGATTTAATATTGATTGTCAAAATAATTAGTTATAAATAGGTGTCATTAATGTAACGAAAATATGTCAATAAATAGATGTCGCAGCGGTTTATTTCAAAAGATTTTTAACAAATTCATTTTAATTTAAAATGAACTTAAAATTATGGAAAAAAAGTAAAAATTGATGTGTGTGGAAAGATAAAAATAAAAAATAAAAAATTTATAAAATTGTTTGATTGAATATCATTAAAAGGAAAAATTAAAAATTCAAAAAATTTTAATACAAAAAAAAAGTAATTATTGAATTTAATTAAAATTGAATACACTGGTTTTTACAAGATTAATACTCTTACATACTAGATTAAATAGGCTGAATTAAAACTGTGTAAAATTAAATGCTTTAAAAGCATCTACATGTAAAGAAATAAATTTGCATTAAATTTGTCATTATTTTGTTGTTAATTTCGTAATACAAAATAAAAGGAATATTTTATTAATTACTATACAAATAGAAATATCATGTAAGTTGATTGCATATAATTATTTTTTTCTATTGAGAAGAAGTGCAAAAAATTTAAGTAAGCTATAGTACTAAATCACGGTGCAAATCAAATTTGGGCAATTCTTTAAGGCAGTATTTTTAATAATTTTTTATAGTTCACTCAACATATTTCATATTTTCACATAATTCATATTGATTGAAATGTGCTAAATTAGAACGTAAAAATTTAGTATAAACGATATTGGTATAATTTTGGTTATTGGCTTTATATTTCTGAATACTTAAAATATTTACTTTACATCGTAAAATAGTACTTATAGTACTTATCCGATGACATAAAATACCGTTTTTCTCCGAAATTATTTTTGTTAACATATTATTACTCTTACTTTTTGGAAACAATGTAGTGATGACCAAATATAATTGAAAATCAAGTTCAGTGAATATGAAGGCTGGACAATATTGAATATTAAAATAATTTGTCAACTATAAAATCTTATATAATTTAATATGCAATAAATTAGGACACAAAGTTCATAATATTATATAACATAGTTGTACTTATAGAGGAAGGAAGCATCTTGCACCATTTAATTGGACCTAATAGAATCAAAGAACAAACTTCCCTAATGAATCAATATTTTTTATTTTTATCCAACTTTATCTATCTTATTCCGTTTTAACAAAATATATAAGGAATTTTGTAATTTAATATTAGTTTTTTTTTTTCAATTAAAATAAAAAAGTTTAAATCTTGTAAACTACATTATTATAATTTTTGGTAATTGAGTATTATGTACGTTGAATTGTACACAAATTTAATTTTAAGCTTAATTAATTAAGTCACACAATGTAATTATTTGTGTACAATTTACGGTTTTTGCTCACTTAATACTCAATTACCAAATAATAATGACTTTTAATATTGTATTTGAAATGCACACCTGTTACAATATACTAAACATACATATACATACATGCATGTTTATAGCTGCATAACTTGTGCAGTATCATGTTTTAATTATGATAACTTATTATGTACTTTTTTTAATGTAGGTACTCAATTTCTAAAAGTAAAAGAAATAAGAATGTATACTCACTGTTTGTGTATTGCATTTTATAGTTATAATGTTTCATTCACATATAGGATGCACAAACTTGTACGAATTCAACAATTTTAACATAAATCCAATAATATACTTAAATGAATCAAAACAATAGGAAGTTATAATATAAACTCCAACAATCCCAATAGTGTTCTCCTACCTAATTCAGAATTTTTAATTTCTCTTACTTAATGTCGCCCGGTTTAGAAAACTTCAATTCATGTGGATTATAAAGTTCTCTTTCTAGCAAACAATACTTGTATTAAAGAAGTTTAATTAAGTATCTCTAAAGTATATGTATATATATGTATATTATGTATTTTTGTTAGAAAGAAATATGATGCTGACATGTAAGCGTCACAAAATTAATTTATTTCATTTTCTTATAAACTTACATCTTATTCAAAGTTAAGCATGTGTATTACGTGCCTACATATGTATGTACATATACGTATGTATGTATTTAAAAATACATTATATATGTTAATATACTAACATGTGTGTTTACATTATGTAAAACTGTGTTTTTTAATTTAAGCTTTTCTGTCGGAAAAAGCAAAAAAAAAAAATTGCGTGCTATCACTTTTCTATGACAATTTTATTATTTATAAAAATGCGGTAAAGATTACAAGGAAATTAAATTTGTTATATAATTGATATTATATATTAAATAATTATTAAAAATATTTTAATAAATTTTTTGATTGACATACTTATTATTTATTTTACAATATTAAGATGACAGAAAATAAAAAATTTGAAATAATTTTAGAAATGAAAAGTAATGGTAATTTCCATAAATAATGAATAA